GCTGTGGGAAATAAGCCCTTGGATGTTTCCTTCTCCCTTCTCTTTTGCTCACACCTACCCCAAAGTCACAAGAGCAGAGGTTCAACTTTGAGCCCCTCCTGTACATCTGATAAAAGGTACAAGCCACAACAGAATCCCACAAACCGCCAAAAAGAAGACCGCAGCAATCACACTGCAATTTGTCCAGGGCTTGTACAATCAAGTTTCTTCAGGTAGCTGTGGCTCAGGATGTACAGTCGGTCATTCACTATTCATAAGGGCTGTTACACGATCCCGAAGTGTCCTTGGATAAGATGCTGAACCCCACAGTAGCACTGGTGTATGATGGATGAAGCACTGTGTGAATGGGTGAATGTGGCTCTTGTAGTTTGGTCAGTGAGACTAGAAACATACTATATAAGTGCTAGTCCATTTAACGTGTTGTTTTGATAGACCTGCTGTTGGGAATGGGAGTTGTTTTCTGACAAGAAGTCGTACCTTGTCAGAATGCTCACTTCTTCTATAAAATAGTGGTTGTTAAGGGGTTGCAGTCACATCTACTGAAGAGTAGGAGAAAGACGAGAAAGAAACCCAGTGATTCCCCCTTTCCTTAGAGTAAACAGCATCCTCGTAGCACTTCTTGATCTCATTAAATAATAGCCTGGGCTTTCTCTCCCTCCCCAACCTCCCTTTCCTCCAAGCAAATCTGGCGTGTTGACAGGCAAGAAGGGGTGGAGGCGATAGTAAGGGGCACGAGAGCTAGGTAGAACAGGAAGGAGAGGTGGGGGCGCTTGATTTGAATGCTAACAGGGGCCGATTTGGATACGACGCACAGCCTCAATGGGGCGTTAGTGCAGATAAGCTTTCCTTCTCAGACTCAGACAAGCAGGCAAATTGCCTGGGCGAATGTGATCGGTGTAACAAGCTCAAATAAAAAAAAAAGAAAGACAGAAAAAAGCATGCTCGCCATAGCAAACTACATGGAGTTTTTACTTATATTGTCTAATCATTTCTGAGGTGAAAAGTGGCAACAAAAAAGCAAAGAGGAGAAAGAGGAAAGGTAAAAAGTCAGTAAATTAGAATGATCCTTGCTGCCAATTAGATCACTCTCCCTCGCTAGAGTGAATCTCAGCATGGTCTGGGCTGCTAGGATAATGAGGGGGAAAAACCCATAAGGATACACAGAGACAAGTGACACTAAAGCACTGGCATTCCAGCACAAACACAGTGAGAGATGGCATATGATTAGGGAACAAGAGGACACCCCAAAAGAAAAGCAAACATCCTGGGGCCCAATTAATAGAATAATGCTTTATAGATTTAAATGTTTAAAAGACTTTTAAAGGAGACAAAACTCTGGTTTATTTACATTTGAGACACTGCGTTTTCTAAAAATGGACTCGTTCCTGTCAGTCCATCACAGCTAGACCTGGATTTGATTGGCTCCTTTCACAGAACAATTGCTCCCCCCCTTTCTTCTAATCACAAGCATGCAGCATTTGTGTGGACAGGCCTCCTTCAAAATTCTGCACTCAGCAGGTTTGCTTCATTTAAACCACAGGACTGGCATTGTCTGGCATTATGGGATGCATTGTAACTGAACTACCTATGTGCCTAATTGCGAATTCATGTGCTGTGGGAAATTCGGAATACACACCGTCACAAATCAACACTTGATCAACTCTGCAACTTGCTCTTTTAACGCCAAGTGGATTTCAAATTGGGATAACAATTTGTCTAATTGTGACGTGCTGCGCTGTGCTGGATATGCAGAAGTTAGCCGGGTGCTTGCAAATAATTGATTAGCACTGCCCACATTTAAGGTGTGTGTTTCTCAAACTGAAAACTATGCAGTGCTGCAGGAACATAAAATCAATGCAAGGTGGGCAAAAAGGGTACAAGAGAAAAAAAAATGCAAATTTGCCATTTTTCTCTACTCGTTCTGAGCTGAAATTGAGAATGTTGAGAAGTGTACATTTCTGAGAACTGGAAGCTTTTTTTTCCTTTTTATTGTTCTGCATGCATGGAAATTAACTTTCTATCAAACTGCATTAATGCATAATGTCGAGAATAACAACAACTGTGAAGCAAATCCTTTTGCACTCCTGGCTGTAGTTAAGTGTAGAAGCTGCTGACATGTTGGGTGGCACTTTGTAGCAGCTTAACTATAATATGTGAAGTCTAAAGCTAAGCTATAGCTTAAGTGGTATTGTTTTCACCTTCTGAGCCCGTGCGCGTGTGTGTTTGCATGTTATCGTGGAAAAGTGCAGTTACGCAGACACGTAGTGTAGTGAGAACTACCACTAGGGCAGTTCGGAGTAGTTTAGCAGGTGTTTGTATG